TAAGTATACCAATAGTTTTCATTAATTCATAACTTTTAATAGAATCCAGTGTGTATAATTATTTGTTTATATCTCTTATTACCAATCTAAAGATAGATTACTACTTATTACTTGATTAAAACATTTTCTCAAGGAATTATATTTCAATAAATCACTATACCAATTTCTTATGCCTATCATATTTAGTTTCTTTTAACACAATCATTTATGTTTTTGCAAACCGACGCGTGTATACACACTTGTTCACACGCCCATGTAAAAATTAGAAAAAAAAAGAAGAAAATAAATAGTACCGTTCATTATTGATGTCTACTTATTTTTAAAAAAAGTACTATCATTCAGATGATAGTTGGAGAAATGTAAATAAATCTGAATTTTCAAAACTTCTTCAAATGATATAAGAACCATCAGTATTACTACAAAATTACCTATTTTACCTAGATGTTGAAATGTAGAGAATAACCAAAAGAAAAAAGTCTAAATTATTATTAAGATGTTTTTTCATTGAGGGAATAGCTAATATGTTATATGTAACTTTATGGTTATATGGATAATAGATTTAGCATGTGAAAGAAAGAGTTGTTGAAATTATACAAAGAAAAAATAATTCTTTAAGTTATGTAAAAACTATGATATTATGTGATGTAAGTTGATTGGAGTTAGTCAATAAGAGACTATGAATCTAGGTTTCGTACTTGTTGGTAATCATTAGTAAGCGGTAAGTACAAACAGATACTGCCTGTGAATCTTGTATACCAATGAGCAAGCTTCATAACAACTTGAATTTCTGATGAGTGTCAAGTAGCATGAAAATTAAATCCAAAGTTTTCTACTCGTAACCATTAAGATCAATATTCAGGTTAGTAGAAAAAAGAAAAAAAACATATAAATAGCTATAATGTATTGATAGAGAACAACCAGTCAAATTTTTGCCAACAAAAATTAGTGATTAATCTATTACCAGAAGGGCTTTTGTGGAGATTTTAGTAATTAAGTAGTTGAATTCATGAGTCAATTAAAGCTAGGCCACCATGGAAACGTGGAAGCACTGGATGGCCGTTTCGTCTTAGTATGGGGCTCCCCAGCAGTGCGCATCCACAATCCACGTTTACCATGGTGGTCTAGCTTCAATTCACTCACGAATTCAATTACAAAATTATTAATCTATTATAAAGAGATTCTGATAGCTCGATTCTCGTTGAGATTATCATCAGGACAATATTATAACAGATAAATACACATTGAAAATGTATATATCATGATTCACCGGAGAGCAGCTTCCAAAATTTTAAACTTTTATATCTATATTCATTAATTCGTAGTAATGTGTCAAATGCAAAATCTATTATAATCTACTATATTATGTTTAAAAATGTACAAATACTAAGTGCGAAACCATTGTTACAAATTACTCTGACCGATCAAATACATAAATGTTTAACTAAACTATTGCATAGTTATAGTGACTAGTCAATTGTATATTTCAATAAACATATAACTGTTTTTTAACTCTCCATGTAATCATTAGACACATGCTTCTTTATTCACTTGATTAATTAATAATTCACTCATTCATATTCATTAATTAGTTGGTATTTATTACGAAAGAGCTTCAAGTTATGACACTTAATCATGCTGTGCTTGATAATTAGATAATAAAATGGATTTAATAATGATTATTCAATAAAAAACTTGTAAATTGTAACTTGAATCTGTTCAAAGAAATAGGCAAGAAAATTTTGGTATCCAGTATAGGTGTCAAAATTTTGACATAAATTAGCCCTTCCAATATATATATTATATATATATATATATATATATATATATATATATATATATATATATATATATATATATATATATATATATATATATATATATATACTCAACTTTATGTATCGTCAGGTGAATCAGTCTTAGCATGTTATGAAAATTTTGATGTTATATTTCTGTATTTGTAACTCACATATTCACATACACGTACATACACAAGTAAATTGTGGAAATGTAACCCAGTACATAGTTGAATAAAGCATCATTATCATATTCACTATTTGAAATAAATTAAAAATTCACTAATTTTGTTTTAACTAGTATAGGGGTTGTGGAGATTATTACATTTTTGATTAAGATCATGAACCTATTTGTGTTAGACCGCCTTTGGAAACCTGGAAGCACTGGACGGCCGTTTCGTCCTAGTATGGGACTCCTCAGCACTGCGCATCCACGATCCCACTCGCGGGATTCGAACACGGGATCTCGCACGCGAACGCTTAACCTAATGGATCACTGAGCTGGCATCCAATGGTGATAGTGTCTAACATCAACCAATCCGCTGAATTGCGCGACCATCTTCCATTGTATTGAGGTAGATACCTGTCCCTACCTAATATTGACTAGCTCCACGCTTCTCACTAGAACTTCGAGAATTTCCTCACGAAGATAGTCACTAGTGAGCACATGTAAGGCTTGTGGAAATCATTAAGTTTTTGCTTAGTAATTGTTGTTAAGATTGAAATGTATTAAAATATTGAACTCTTTAACATTTTGTATTCTGCCATATTCTATAGTCTATAACAAATAAAATGCATTTGGTGGATAAAGTGAGTTTATTTCGAAGTTGTTTATTTGTTGAAAATATTGAGTTCTGCCAGAGAAATAATGATTAAGATGTCAATATAATAAGGTATGCATTGTCTTTTCAAAGTACCCTGCTCCCCTATTTGCTTTTTGACAGGGATTTCTAGCATCAACTGTAACATCACAGAATGATGAAACTTGCATGTATCTATAACTAGATTTCTATCATTTTAAAAGGAAATGACTTCATCTAGAAAGTTATAATACCTATGTTTTGTCTGTCTAGATTAATTTAGAAATTTAATGAGTTCTAACTCTTTATCTATGTGCATGAAGTTAGTTAAATGTCGTAAAATTATGAAGTATACGTAGCACTAAATGAGATAAAGATATTGTTTAGACGTACTTTAAAAGACAAGTTTTTGAAGTTACTTAACCGCATTTTATCTACTTTCTAACTTCATTATGTTCTTCACTCTCCTCCTACCCTTTTATACTTGGTCATCAATGTTATTGTTTGCTTCAAGTTTCTTTCATCCCGTTATTAATCTTCGTTATATTTCCCATTTTTAAATAGTTTTTATTCTGATGTTTTTCACTAACTTATCATAGTTCATTATACAAACTCATTATGATAAATGAAATTTCAGAACACCTTAATAATGAGACTGTCTCATTCCATTATATATATTAAAATCAAGACGTTCAGCGAAGGAATTCTTTATTCAGTGAATTCATATTCAAGCTCTACAATCGCATATATATATATATATATATATATATATATATATATATATATATATATGAAAATTTCTTAAAGTATTACTTAAAGTTTGTTTAAGTTGAATTCCATTATTCCTGTTTATTATTCGCTTGTTTCATCCTAGTATGGCACTCCTCAGCAGTACACATCCACGACCCCGACCCGCAAGATTCGTTAGATTCATTAGATCAACTGTCATTCTATTAGCTAAGTTAATAAATATTTATTACTTTTGAACAACTTACATAATTTCTGTAAATAAATCACTAATTTTTTTCTCAAAAAATCATTATATTCCATTCATTGTATACTGAATCCATTTATATAAATGAACATTCAGATAGAGACGGTAGTATCACAAAAAAAGATATTGATGATTAGTTGATAGATAATTCTAGTGAACTATCTACATTTTAATAACAAAATAGACATATATGATATTTCATGATAGGAGCTTTACAGCTTTTCCAATGAAAACAAGCAATAAAATAACCACAAACAATTGTCTTCTTAGAATTGTTTCTATTGTTGCCTTTTTTTTTTCTAAATAACTTGGAGATTTTTTTTTATTACAGTCAGTGTTTTTTCTGTTTTTCAATATTTTGATTTTAAGTAAATAAAATACTTTTCAAGTTAGTAATAAGATTTATTGATTAGAAATTGGTTAAAGATAATTAACACATTTAAAAGTGAATAATATTCAATAGATTAATGCATATTTTGTCGCCATATCAACATACTATTAGAATATGTACACTGATTCATGAATTTAATCACAGTAACTAACTGATATATGTATACATATGTTTACTGAAATCATTTATTCATTTAACAGAAGACATAAAATTTGTAGTCTATTTACACTGTATTGTTATCAGAACTAAATTTATTGTTTATATTTCCAATAATATTATTAGGCAAATTGTGCGTTAATATTTTATTATTCGTTTTTACACTGCTTTCTCGTGACGGGGGTGTTGTTTACGAAATTGAGAGGACGAAAAGCGAATGTCCGGCACTCTAACCGGGTTGGTGGACAGGGAGAGTTCAACTAGAGGATTTGGAAAACACTGATTCCAAACTAATAGTGTACATGGGTTCCAGTATCCTGCGGGAACAAATGGCGTATGAACCAGTCGTTAGTCACCGGCTACCATGGAACTGCATCTCCTCAAGATGGTGCACTGCCTTGTGGATCAGACCTTTAGGTCGAAGGCTCTTAAGAGAACCACCTGCTTCAGTTTGGGCACCCGGGCAGTATCACAGCTTTCACACAAATCAAATGAGATATGTATGGCGCATATGTATTTGGTGCCTCCTTGAACTAATATTTATGTCTTCAAATAAAATAAATAATAATAAATACAGAAGTGAGTTAACAATAACTATCATCAGTTGAATACATAAACTTAAGTAACTAGATTTCGTTTTCTTGACAAATATTTAAAAGAACTGTAAACTAGGGTAAAAGAAGAAGCGTTTCTTTTCGATAAAAAACATTATAAATCAAAATAAGATACGCATTTTTGTTTAGGTTGATTTTTGAACAATTATTTTCTGTTTTGTTGCTGATGACTAGACTATTTGTTGAAGAAGGTTATTAATTTTAAACGAAAACAGAAAAACAAAAATATTGATGAATTCATGATGTAATAAATTATGTCAACTTTCTTTTACAACTTTCATTCAACTCATTTGATGATGATAATGATGATGATGATGATGATGATGATGATGATGATGATGATGATGATGATGATGATGATGATGATGATGATGATGATGATGATGATGATGATGATGATGATGATGATGATGATGATGATGATGATGATGATGATGATGATGATGATGATGATGATGATGATGATGATGATGATGATGATGATGATGATGATGATGATGATGATGATGATGATGATGATGATGATGATGATGATGATGATGATGATGATGATGATGATGATGATGATGATGATGATGATGATGATGATGATGATGATGATGATGATGATGATGATGATGATGATGATGATGATGATGATGATGATGATGATGATGATGATGATGATGATGATGATGATGATGATGATGATGATGATGATGATGATGATGATGATGATGATGATGATGATGATGATGATGATGATGATGATGATGATGATGATGATGATGATGATGATGATGATGATGATGATGATGATGATGATGATGATGATGATGATGATGATGATGATGATGATGATGATGATGATGATGATGATGATGATGATGATGATGATGATGATGATGATGATGATGATGATGATGATGATGATGATGATGATGATGATGATGATGATGATGATGATGATGATGATGATGATGATGATGATGATGATGATGATGATGATGATGATGATGATGATGATGATGATGATGATGATGATGATGATGATGATGATGATGATGATGATGATGATGATGATGATGATGATGATGATGATGATGATGATGATGATGATGATGATGATGATGATGATGATGATGATGATGATGATGATGATGATGATGATGATGATGATGATGATGATGATGATGATGATGATGATGATGATGATGATGATGATGATGATGATGATGATGATGATGATGATGATGATGATGATGATGATGATGATGATGATGATGATGATGATGATGATGATGATGATGATGATGATGTTGATATAAATAATGATCCAACAATCCGAATATAAATAATAATGAAAGTATCTAGTATACACTAAATGAATGTAAATTGGAAGACATCTTTCGTATACTTCGTATATTTACCTGATCCATAAACTATTTCCTTCCTTACCCATTGATTAGTACGTCAGCTCATTGTTATTTATTCTCGAATCCATTTTGTGATGCAATCTTTTCTATCCTCTTATAGATTATATTTTCCATATAACTAAATATACACGAATGTACAGCTTAAGTAAATGATTTTGTCGAAAAGAAGATTTTCTTCGCTGAATTCTCTTTTTCTTATTCAATAACACTATGGGTTATTTTAAAAATCAGTCTATAAATAAAGAAATCAGATTGTAATACTGAATGTTAGATCTATCAACAGAAGTACACTTACCTGACACCATTTACGAAAATATTTTAATGGTTCCCTAAAATTATGCTACAATATGCTTGAATGATTGAAAAAACAATGTAATTAAAAAGTTTAAGCATAAAACCTTCTCTCAACTTTACAAATAAGACAGCTTCTTGTAGATGTAATGAGTTTTTTGAATTGTGAATTAATAAAAAAAACTCTGATCATGAACTTAAGTAGTGACTATTACTAAGAGTTGACTAATCCTCGGTTACTATTCCATATAATATTCAGATTGTATTTTAATTAGGTTTATTTTATTCGAAAATTGTGTTATTTTATGGAGTTAACAATGGTTTTATTTGGTTGATCAGTTATTCCGTTTCTTTATTTAAAGCCATTGTAGTGATAATTTGATTTTCGTTAGTAAACATCATTAACCTACTTTAGGATAGATTATATAACTAAGAAATCACAACGAATATCATCTAAACAGTTTGTCTAAAACTTAAGATTTCAAGAGAACTTTTATTGTTGTTATTACTTGTCGAAAGTTTGATAGTAATTTGTGGTATTCAAAGTACAGCTTTATGTCAATACATCTTTCTTATTTCTTAATTTAACACTTCTTAATATCAAAAAATTATCAACAAGCAAGTGAGTCGACAAATCACTATTCTGATATGTATTTGTTTTAAATAAAAAAAATTTAGGCCCTAGACTGCTTTTGTTATACCATTGACAAAGAACTTTCTTCAAACTATAATATGTAAAATATGTTGCTATATTCAGCTTATTTGATTTCAATCGGTTAAGGTGACTAATAGACACTGTTACAGGTAGCTGAATATTTTTCTTCTATGAAACTTCATCCACCGGTTCAAAATCCAATATTACTTCAAAAGACTACAACAATTATGAATATCCACCTTATAAACAGATCGAAAATTCATATGTTAGATCTGTGTTTGGTCTAACTGCTTTTTTGATCTTACTGACAATACTATTTGGTATAAATGAGCAGATAATACAATGCTAAAAGTACTAAATACAAAGAATGATAACATGTGTGGTTTCTTCTTCATCCTCTCATCATATGTAACTTATTTCATAATTACTAGATTATACCTGATTGATGACTGTGAAAAATTATTGATTGTCAAAATTATATCTATATATATTCTTAAATAAACTTTAGATTACGGTGGAAAACTTAAGGCAAATAAAATTCTGTATCATTGAGATTCAAATATTGAAACTTAAGCAACTAATTCTTATCAAATATTAAATAAAACAACTGTTTATTACATACTCTTTTAAAAATATACAAATTAGTTTAGATTGATATCATGAATGGATCAATGTTGGACCACTATTGAAAACCCGGAAGCACTGGACTGTCGTTTCGTCCCAGTATGGGCTTCTCAGCACTGTCCGTGATCCTGCATGCAGGACTCGAACCTGGGACCTTCGTCCTCTCACGTGAACGCTTAACCTCTAAAGCATTTAGCTGACATCTGACGATGTTAACGTTTACCCTCAATCAACCGATGATTATTACTGTCGAGAAAGTTTTCAAATATCGTAGGAACTTCAAGTCTATATATAAACTTTGACTTCCGGAAAAGATAAAAATCATAAATAAGAACTTTAATTGTAATATCAACTACTGGATTGCTGAAAGCTCAGAATTCGGATGGACGGTGAGAATCTAGAAGCCAGTTGGGATGTCAACGTCATTAATGTCCAACGGTGTTATTGTCTAACTTCAACCAATCCGTGATATTGCACGACCGTTCACTATTTTCTTCAGTGAGTAACCGCCTCACACCATACACGGTTGAACTCTACTGGCCACACCCAACACTGAATGGCGGTGTAATATTACTCCATTAATGAAACCGATATAAGAAATGTAAATACATATATCTTTTTTCGCCATCGGTACAACCCTCATTTGCAGGTACTGATACAAGCTGTAAAACTCAGAAAAACCTTGAGAGAATCATGTAACTATTATATCGTGTTTTAGGATCCCCTTGAAGTCTGCGTCCGTGGACATACAGTTAAAGCTTTTGAGAGCTTGAGGTCCGGAGGTTGTGAAGATAATGATGTTTTAGTGAGTCAGAATAAATTGATACCTAAAACTCCATAGACTTGTCATATAGTGGGAGCAGCATCCCTGCGATAGATACGCAAACATTTAGCTATTGAACTGGTTATCTCTACATAGATCACTTATAATGCTCTAAAGTTGATCCTGTTCATAGCACTTGAACTTCAGTATATTACGTTCTAAACGCTTATATATTCTCAAATAATTGACGGGTTAATACAAGCTATTTTGATTACTTTTGATGAAGTCAGCAAATATTTTGATTGAGAAAAACAGAGGGCCGTTACTGGAAATGTTGATGCTGTATTCAATGCGTCCCACTCTGTGTCGACGTGGGAGGGCTCATTTCACCAACTAACCACAACTACTTTCTCAATAGTGGCCAAAATCCCTAGCTACTAAGCCACCACTACATCAGTCACCTCAAGCTTACGGGAAACCTTTCTGATGTGTACCGAAACCTGAGTCCAGGATTTCCCGTCAACTACCCCGGACCATCACATTATGCCGAGTAAAATTTAACTTTAATAGTACTTTTCTTCTTTTTTCAGTACTATGAGTTTCAAAAAGTATTTTTGGTTATATTTGATATAATAGAATAAGACGATATTATATAGGTCAGTATTTTTTTGTATTAACTCTTTAGAAATTTAGGCCAAAGTTACAGGTGTAAACTTAGTTCAATATGACACTTAGAGATCAGTATAAAATTTGTTTTATGTGACTTGTGAATTCTCGATCAGAATGACATCCCGTATTAATTCAGGTGAACTATATTTATTTTGTTTTTACAATAAATGTATGTATTCCTTCTCCTCCTCTATTAAGTGTGTGTAAAAATTAGTACGTAAATAATTTTATTTTGATCTAGTGTTGATTTTGAGACTTGTTTGTAGATGTATTTTTAAGGATTTTTAAAGTGTTCGTTGTACCAGTTTTCTGTGTTCTGACTTAACTTCGTGGGATTTTTATTGGTTACCACTACCCAACATAAATGTTAGGGTCAAGAAATTGTAGTGGTTACCGATTGTCAGGTAAATGCAATTATACTGTGAATTCAACAAACATACATAACAGAAACGACTCCTCAGATAACATAGTTGACCACTGAGTTACAACAATGCAGATAGGGTCAATTATACAGTCATAGGGATATGATTAAAAGTATTCTTCTAACGAGATTCATTGTTCTCCTTCTTTAAATTCGTTTATCATATTACAGAATATGTGTTATGCAGTAAATTTTCCCGATACTCATGACTTTCACATAGAAGAAATTTTTAAATTAGTAGTATTCAAAGGTAGATATTATTTCATTTAAAACTCATTTAATCTCTTTTATGCATCTACTATGTAATGCTTGTTTTAAATATCCATATTTTTTCTATGAGAAAATTGATATTATCAACTAAATTAGTTGTAAAGACGACAGTTCATTGATATCTACTGTAGACAATAAAAAGTACATTATTCAAATGTACTGTTAATTAACATAATTAAAACTAATTAATGATATCTATATATTATTACATTATCTTATTTACTCATTTATTGAATAAAATAATAATGGGAATAAACAAATAAATAAATAAATAGACTGACCAATAAAATTTCAGGAAAACTTCAGCTCATTTTTTCATTGGTTCTTTATAAATTAAATAATAACCAATAAGTAATCTGTTTTGTTTTTCTTTATTTTTTATTTTTATTTTAAGAAATAAAAAAAAGTATGATTAATTTATATAACACACTTATTTAAGTGTATTTTCAATTACAAATTAATTACCAGGTGAATACTAATTATTTAATAAAAGAAATATATCACTTAAAGAGTGCAATAATGAAAAACATGCTTAATGTTACGATACATCATCATCATAAACATGTAGATTTTATAAAAATCATCTTATATATTTATTGGATATGTTCAAGTTATGTAAATTGTATGAGATATAATACAGTTTATCAAAATGATGATTTATCATCTGTCTATAAAATGCCTAAGAAACATTCAAGTAGGTTTTAATTATTTATATATCAACATTTTTTTAAAATAAACTTACGATCATTCAATGCATCTATAATAAATAATTGTTTAATATATAAATGTTTAACATTTTTCAACAGTTCAATTCACTTATCACTTTAAGCTAGACCAACATTGAAAGCCTGGAAGTACTGGAGGGCTGTTTCGTCCCGGTGTGGGACACCTCAACCGTGCGCATCCATGATCTTGCACGCGAAAGTCCTATACTACGACGAAACGGCCATCCAGTATTTTCAGGTTTTCAGTGGTGGTAGCATAGGTTGGCTCTTGAATTCAACTGTTATAATACTACAAGCTCCAAAAATCTCCATTCTGATAAACAACAATAAACATTTATTTTTTAATAGTTGAGATTATGAGTCAATTGAAGTTAAACCACCATGCTTTTAAATTTTCCATAGTGTTTCCATCTTCATTTGACTCATGATCTCAACTATTAAAATTACTATAATATTCATAAAACCCCATCTAAAATTTATTTTTCAATTGAAGATCATACGTATATTTGATGATGTATCATATTAAAAATAATGATATTTGTTCGTTTTATAAATCAATCTTTACAATAATCATTTTCTTAAATA